ATTATCCAAGAATATTTACAACTATATTTCTTAGGTAATTTATTTATTTGTACTTAAATTATCTCTTTTGTTTTAATGTTTCGCCTGAAAAAATTTTCTGAATCCGTCTGTACTTTTTCGCCCCCACTCAACTGACTTTCTGAATCCGTCCCTGATGTAATAGGGTGATGACACATCTAGAAGATTGATTAAAGTTAAAAAAAAAACATACATATAATTGCAAAATTTTTCCCCTTTAATGTCGTTGCAAACTTGCAATAACGAAAATATTCTAGATACTTTTTTAAAAAAAAAAAAAAATTGGGAAAATGACATTTTTTCCCCCTGTGTTATATGCTTATAGCACTTTTTCTCCCTGAGTTATTCATGCATTCACATTTGCCCCCTCAATTATTATAGAAGTGACGGTTTTTCCCCCTGATAATATTAAATGGACATTTCTACCCTTAAAACAAATATTTTATTTATTTCTCTTCTTCACCAAATTATTACTTATACGTAGGGATGACCACGGTTCGGTTCGAACTGAACCAAACACTATAGCAATCAAATTAAAAAATTTCGGTTATGATTCATAACATAACCCAATATTTGGGTTTCCGTTTATTAAAATCGTGAACTGGAAAAAAATGGATCCTAAACCGTGAACCGGAGGTTCAATTCGGAACAACTACTAGCAATAGCTTAAATTAGAATTATAATATTTGCAAATAATGCATGTTTTTTTTCCGCATTTATATTGACTCTCACATATAAGTATATATAATCGCGATTTGAGTTTTATTTTGAACCGTCGGTTCACGATTTTGGATCCAATTTGAACGGTTGGTTCAAACTTTCTTTTAATTTTTTTTTTTTTTTAAATATTCTAAATTTAACATTTAATGTATTTTATTTTTTCAAATCGTGGTTATAATTTGTTGGAGAAGAAAAATAAATGAAATATTTATTTTAAGGGTAAATATGTCCATTTAATATATAAGGGGAAAAACTGCCACTTAAATAATTTAGGGGGGAAAAGTGCTATAAGTATATAACAAAGGAGGAAAAAGTGCCATTTTCCCAAAAAAATTTAATTTTGTTTTTAAAAAAATCATTTTCTCAGCTAATCGAACTCCCCACTTTGCTCTGAGGAGTATTCCATTGATTGAAGCACAAATCGGAGTTCGGACACTCCCGAAGCCATGTCTACCATTGCTGCCAAGGTCGCTGTAATCGGAGCTGGAAGTAAGAATGGAAAATATGTCCTATTTTTTAGGAGTAGTAGTTAAAATATGTAAAAACGATTTTCAAAATTTGACAAAATCGAGGAACTTTGGGATTATGTTAATGATGAAGAAATGAAAAAAGTCCTTTCTCTTGTCTCTTTATTTAATTTAATTTTTTATTTTTGTGCTTCAGTTTCCGGGTCAGTTTGTGCATCTACATTAGCCAAGAATGGAATATCTGTCACCCTTTTCGAGTCAGCTAGAGGCCCAGGTGGTCGAATGTCTCAAAGGAGGTAAAGTTTTCACATATACTGTAAATAATTCTTTAATTTCTGTTATTTTTAAAAAATTAAAAATGGGAATTCCCTAATCTTTGAATTTTTGTTAGAGAAACTACCGAAGATGGGAGGGAGTTGTTTTTTGATCATGGTGCTCCTTACTTCTCTCCTACCAATCCTGATGTACTTAGCCTTGTTCATGATTGGGAATCAAGAGGACTTGTTTGTGAGTGGAAGGAGAAGTTTGGGTCTTTTGATTGCATTTCCAAGAAGTACATCAACTTTGAAGAGGTTTCAACTCTCAATTGTTTAACATATCTCTAATATATGGTACTATGGCTGTGTTAGGCTAATTTGGTCTAAATTGCACGTGTTTCTTGGTCTTCCTTCTCCTTTTTATATTGCTTTGGTAAGCTGTGTTCATATTGTTTTATACTGGTTTTTGTGCCTTGGTTTGAGATAGTTTGGCTTTGCATCCAATATAATTTTCTTGCACACCCTAATTGGAATTGATTTAGTCAACAATCCTACAAATGGTAGGATTTTCTATGGTGATACGTTGAACCCTGCCTTATTCAATATAATAATAATAAAAAAATCCCTATCTCTCTTCCTATTTTTCAAAGTGAGAGGTACAGTCCCCGCAGTGTTAGCTCAGTTGGTTCGACTGATCACTTTAAAGTCTTGCTCCAGTGGCAGAGTGGAGACTTGGGAACTGACGGAGGACTCGCAATTTACCTTTTCTAGCGGTTCTTTGCAGAGGTTCTGGGGGCTTAGGATTAGTTTGGCGTAAGTTGGGAAACTTAATGTATCAAAAAAAAAAGTGAGAGGTACAACTATACTTGTTTCCTATTTGGAAATAAGGCTTGTTGCAAATATTATATTCCCCAACCCTTTGAGGGCCCTTACTGAAAAAGAAAAAAAAAAAAAGTGAAAAGTGATTATCCATCTGACTTTTGTGATGCAACAGATTACCAGTGCTAAATTTTGACCTTTGGAACATTTGAATCTCCTGGTTGAAAATTATTTTCTATTTTGACAGTGATGCTTAATGATTCCCCATACGAGGATTTTTTTTTTCTTGAAATTATTAACTATATTGCATAATTGTTGTTTGACTAGCTAGCCACAAAAAGTGATCACTATTTCAGTACTTTGATGAAAGTCTATGATGATTACCAATTCAACAGCTCATTTGTGCATATCAAAGAGAAATATCTTGCTTTCTGAGTACTATTATGATGGCAACTTTACCTGTAACGTTAAAACTGCAACTCGTAACATTGACATTCTTTGTGTTTTATTATGTTGGGTGTGTTAAAGTAGTACTGCAGTCAATTGTTCCCTGAATATCATTGTAATTCAGGAAAGCTTAAGCCTGAAATACGTGGGTGTTCCAGGAATGAATTCCATTTGCAAAGCGTTATGTAAGGAGCCTGGTAATTAACTGAAACTACTAGATTCTCATCTTTTTTAGTTAACTATCCACAGAAGAAAGAACTGCTAGATAGCAGATTTCCATATCTGGAATTTACCATTTCTGTCAGGTGTGGAAAGTGTGTTTGGGACAGGTGTTGGGAGGATGGAGTGGTTAGATCGCGAAGGTTTGTGGTCGTTGACTGGTTTGGATGGTAAAAATCTCGGCTACTTTAAAGGAGTTGTGGCATCGGACAAGAATACATGTTCTCCCAGATTTACAAGTGTAACGGGACAACCCCCACCTCTTGGTATGATTTTGCTCTATGTGGATTTTGTGGGTTAACTTTTCAATTGTGTTGATTTGATGAGTAGTCAATTTTGTTGACTTTTGCTCCAGCAGCTGCATATTAACTTATGAAGCTTATTTCCCCTTTTGTCAAATATTCATTTATTCATCTTTAAATATCGTCCAATTGGAGAGTCATAAATGTGGGAGGCTACTATCTATTAAACACAGAAATTCCTCTCTATAGCCTATTCAGCTCAATCATTTATTGCTTCTCAAAGATACTGCATATGGGGAGGGGAATATTATTATTATTATTTTATGTTTTTGTGGGGTAGGGGGTTGAATTTTGTATGTACTTTAGGCCATTATATGTTAGCTTTGTGCTAGGGTGACTCCTATTTATACTGAAAGTATGGAGCTTTAAGGATTTAAGTTAAAAATATTTTAGAATCATTTGAAACAATGAAAGCAATTGTGACTAAAAATGAGTTTTGAAACTCGGAGAGAATTTTGAACTTGGGTTTTCATAATATCCATTCCTTACATATTTGGTCTTATAATAAGATGGTATTCACACCATTCATTCCCTAGTGAGGAACTGAAAGATTCAAGTGGATTAAGATTACTTGCACACTTAGAAATATATGTTTGTTTCATTATTTTTTTAACATTAAAGCCAATATCATTTTTGCACCTTAGTGCTACTACATTCTTGACTCAATTATATAAATAGTTTTGGTAAGTTGAGTTAACCATTTATACTTGTTCTCCTTCAATGTAGATTTGACTATGGTTCCAGATTTGGCCTTGAAGATTAAAGAAATTCCTGTCAGTCCATGCTTTGCTCTCATGCTGGCATTTGAAGATCATTTGCCAGGGGTAAGACATGCAAATACACCTTTTTTGGAAGATTTAAGAGAGGACAGATCACACGCTCGCATCTGTGTGTTTGCAAGTGTATTCTTTGATGCGTGTGTGTGTATATTTCAGGATGTTCCCAAATTAGAGAGTACTTGTCTTATCATTACTTCAAGTTTAGTAATAGAAAAATCTAATCAAAATGTGATATTAGAACATGGGAAAATTGCATTTTTGGTCTTATACTATGGTACAGATTTAGTCTTTGAATTATATGCATGACCATCTTTAACCCCCAAGTTATGTGCAAAGTGGTGTGTTTAGTCCCTGAAGGACCAAATCTGCCACTTTATTAAGTAACATATTGGTGGCAGAAATAGTCTCCGAAGGACTGAAATCGCAACTCCGCGCATATAACTCAGGACTAAACCTATACCACGGGTACTGAAGGACCAAAAATGCAATTCTCCCTTAGAACATTGTCCTAGAAATGACCTAATTGAGTTCTCTCATATCTCAGATGCCAGTTAAAGGCTTCTCAATCAAGAATTCTAAAGTTCTCAATTGGGCATATTGTGACAGCAGCAAGCCAGGCCGTTCCACCAATAGGTATATGCTCTCACATTTTGAACAGAAATTACAGTGAGGAAACTTCAACATTCAGAAATTTAAAATGTATAATTGATAATGCCACGTGCTGTTTGCTCGTTTTTTCTGAGTTAGTGAATGCTGGGTGTTGCATTCTACTGCTGAGTATGCAGAGGGAGTTATTGCCCAAACTGGACTTCAGAAACCCTCCAATGCAACATTGAGCAAAGTGGCTGAAGAACTACTTAGAGAATTCGAAAGCATCAACCAGATTATGCCTCAACCGCTCTTTCAGAAAGCTCATAGATGGTTGGTTTCTTAGACTAAAAACTAAGCATATACTCTTCTAGTGGTTGCTTAGAATATGCATGGCCTTGAGCACTTGAAACTAGAATTGAAGTATGCCTTTCATCTCGACTAAAAGCTTAAGCTGATAGTTGGACTGCACAATTATGTTTATATATTATATGCTCAACAACTAGTGGCTAAAATCCCCTTCAAGTTTCCCATAAGTTATCATTCTTCAACCAAATACTTGAGTAGCTTTGGCATAACCTTTTACTAGTAGCAAGTGATCCTTTCTCTGCGAGATTCTGCTGTCTCTTATGTTGATTGCTACCGGGTAATGCATGTTTGTCCCTCAGGGGAAGCGCGTTTCCAGCAACAAGCATTGCAGAAGAGAGTAAATGCCTTTGGGATGCGGGAAAAAGACTCGCAATCTGTGGGGACTTTTGCGTTAGTCCAAATGTTGAAGGTGCCATTGTCAGTGGGATGGCTGCTGCTGCTAAATTCGTCGAAGTCCATAGTAGCCTATGAGTGCTATATTTCCAATCATACATCCAATAGCGGTAATCTCACTCAGCATATATATATATATATATATATATATATATATCAGCAGTTGTGTTTTATGATTGCAGAGTGTATTGACAGTCTGTATATGCATAGTCATGATCTATAGCTTTAGCATTCATCTTAACAAGAAGTTGAATGCTAGTGGTATCTGGTCATGATGTTTCATATGGTTCTCTAGCCACAGATTCTCCTTGCAGCAAAACATGAAATATAGTTGATTATGTTATTGGCAATGTTGTTTATGAACTTTTGGCGTGGCAATCGTTATACGGTGGACCATGGTTCACGCAGCTATGTGGACTATGATGATACGCCACAAATATGTATATTGTCAAATAAATTTGTAGTAGAATCAAAATGATACTTTAGTTTTACTATAATCAACCTATTGCGTGCATAAAATGAAACTGAATAGCTGTTTTTCTCCACTTATGGCCGAGACTCTTGTGTGCATAGAAGCTTTGTCATGGCTAAGAGCTCGTGGGGAACGGTCAATTGATCTATACACGGACTGCCAGATACTTCAGTGCTACTTATCCTCATCTAACGCCCAGACTCGATCCTATATTGGCTATGCTATTGATGGTTGCAGAGATTACATAGCTATGTTTGATTACTGCTCAGTTAATTTTATTTCTAGATCACAGAATTATTTAGTTCATACTTTAGCATTTACTGCTTTAAATCATGATACGGCTATGTACTGGGATTTAGTCTCGCCTGACTCTATTTCGATTTATTTATAAATACAACCACATTGGTTCCTTTAAAAAAAAAAAAAAAAAAAAAACCTATTGCGTGCATAAAATGAAACTGAATAGCAGAGCATATATAGATAAGTATATTGTCAAATGAATCTGTGGTAGAATTAAAATGATACTTTAGTATTGTTATAATGAACCTATTGTACGTATAAAATGAAATTGAATATCAGAGCTCATACAAATATGCATATTGTCAACTGAACGCGTTTTGAAATTAAAATGATATTTTACTGTTGCTATAATGAACTTATTGTGTGTATAAAATAAAACTGGATAGCAGATACATGAAGTATAATTAAAATGATATTTCAACATGGTGTGTATGAAGAATAAAAATAAAACAGAGCTCATACTATTATTACTATAGTCCACCATGTTATATGGATCACGGTCCACAGTCGAGACTTGGGCTCTGGGCTTCATGCCTCTGCCACCAAGTCTAAAGTTTGGTTCCTTATCACCTCTGAAACTACTTCATCATCTTATATTAGTTGAAAAAGTGAAGATGCCAAAACAGTGGTTAGCATTATATAGCTTCCTTAAGCAGTTTAATTCGTATTCAATGTTTTTTTTTTAAAAAAATATTTTATTTTATTTTTGCATATTTTATATTTCAGTTGAATTCATATTATCTCACATCTATTATTAGTATTTACACAAATATTAACTGAAAAGAGAGAATAAAAAAAATCAAGATTAAAACTTTTGAGTGATTGGGCCAAGTTTTATTTAGCTCTCAATTTTCCTCTTTGACCTACCTCGGGTTCGGCCTTGCATCTTGTTAGGGTCTACCGTTGCTCAGCTTTGGCCTAAAGTCTCGGGGTCGTGGGGCTCGGCCTGGCCTCTAGCCTTGGGGTCTTGATTGATTCTCTCTCCCTCAATCATTTCTCATGACTTTGGGGTGCCTCATGGATTAAGGTCGGGGTCTCTCTCGCCTATGAGAATTTTGGAGTGCCTCATCGCCTTGTTGAGACCCCACTTGCTCTCACCTAAAGTTGATTCCTTGCCTCACCATCGTGACTGACCTCGGGGTCGGCTTGGAGCTTGGCCTCAGCCTAAGCCTTGCCGATAATGCAAAATGAGATGTGTATTTATAGCGCCAGTTCATGCCATCCTGTTAATTTTTTTTCGTTGCAATTTTGTTATGGTATGAAAATTAATACAAAATATATTCCATGTTTGCGGGTGAGTTTTTGGATACAAATTTACTTGAATTGGTAGGTAGGATCTGAAAAAATGAGACAGTTCATATCATATCTTTAAAAAGAAGTAATGGGATTTTCATAATTATCACCAACTTTAATTTACTAATCAAATACAAGCATGGACTCAACATTTTTAAAAGGAATAAGAGTCAAATAGGTCACCTAACGGCAAATTATGATGTGCAACTGGTTCATATGTATTGAACTATATATTCATAATTATAAAGCTATATATTCATTATTGTTGAACTTCATATTCATCATTACTGAACTCTATATTGATAATTACAGAACTCTATATATGTTCATAATTTCTTATATTCATATTTCCAATTATTGAATTCTTTATTCAGAAATCACAGAACTATTCCGTGTGCACCTTGCATGGTGCACACGGTTGCACAACGTAATCATCTCTAACTGCATACAATAATGCAATTAGGCCACGAAATCTTAAAAAACTACAATTGAATCCCTAAACTAAATCATTTCATGCAATTTCATCAAATTGCCAGTTTTCTCAGTTTCTAACAAGTTATCCAATTTTAAAATATTTTTTAAAAGAATTTTTGAATAAAATAATTATTTAAAAATTATTTAAAAAAAAACTGTCTCCGCAGAAAACGGAGATACCTTCATCGTAGATCAAATTCGAATTGTTGAAACCGGTCAAAGTACCTATGAGGTCCCTGTGTTGTAGTGTTTTGTTCAATTTAGTCCTTTTACCTTAATTTTGTTCAATTTAATCTCTGTACTTTAAAAAGTGAAACAATTAAGTACAATAGCCTATGTGACATTATCTCTCCCATGTCATCATACTTACATGCCAACTCATATATTATTTTATAAATATTTAATATTAATTATTATTACCAGCAATATATTACATTAATATGCCCAAAATAAACACATAAATATTTGCTCACATCCGCTGTTGTCTTTAATTGTTACATTTTTTAAAATATAGGGACTAATCTGAGCAAAATTAAAGTAGAAGGACTAAATTGAACAAAACACTATAATACAAGGAACTAATAAGTAATTTGACCGTTGAAACTCGGCTACTAGTGCATAATGACTCTTTCGATCTCTCATAGAAGCTTACTTTTTTAAATTTTGCAAGAGTGAGACACGGAATGTATTAGGTATTGTTTTCTTCGTTTAATCTATCCCACGAGCTAATTATTTCTTATTAGAACGTAGTTGATGAAGTAACATTTTAGGTGAGTGGATGTATTAGAGGACGGATATATATCTTTATACGGGATATCATTCTCACAAGGATTGGTGATAGGAGTAGAGCGTTAGGGTTCCAAGCATAAGATATTGATGTTCCTCATGGAAATCTAGCCAAAACATAGGGTAGATATGGATACAAACACAATATTAAACAACACACTTTAATGAATACAAATGATAAGAAATTAGAGGTGGATAGGAACTAAAGGTAGATCATGAAAATTAAATCAAATTGGGAGCCAAAAGCTGATAGATGTCATATAACGATAAGAAAGCCTTTATGAAGGTCATCCCAAACTTCTAGAATATTTAAGGACATTCTCATGACTCAAGAATGTCTAAGAGGCATTTCATCGAACACTTGGTGTTCTTAACATCACACACTCTCCTTTTCTCAAAGGTGAAGCATGGTTGATCAACTCCTTAAACTTAGACTAGGTTGTCACTCCCTAATCAAGTTTATAGGAGGATCATTCCCCAAGTGAGATTAATTATTGCTTGACATTTTCAAGGAAAATATAATTCACTCGTTAAGATGTTGAGATTAATTAAATATATTGATAATGCAAAATGAGATGTGTATTTATAGCTCATGTTCTTGCTATCATGTTAATATTTTTTTTCATTGCAATTTTTTATCGTATTAAAATTAATACAAAATATATTCCATGTTTGCGGGTGAGTTTTTGGATTCAAATTTTCTTGAATTGGTAGGTAGGATCTGGAATTAGTAATAATATTTTTTTAAAAAATTTATTGTCATAAAAATATATGTAAAATTAAAACATATTTAATTATTCTTCTAGGATGTAAAATGTATTATATGAAAATGGCAAATATCTCACTTTTCGTATGGGTTGAAACTCGGCTAGCGTATATTGACTCTTTCTTTTATGGAGGCTTAGTTTTATAAATTTTGCAAGAGTGAGACACGGGACATATATATTAGCTTTTGTTTTCTTTATTTAATATATCCCACGAGCTAATTATTTCTTGTTAGCACATAGACAATCCATTTTTTTTTTTTTTATGTTAACAAAGAATGTAACAAATAAATTTGTTTAGGTGTGTACACAAACCCTAAAAAATTTACAAGTATAGAGATGTTGCTCAGTAAAATTTTAAAGAAAAAAACATAACAAAAATGACATATGATAATGTGGAATGGAATTATTAATAATTGAGTCTTAATAGACAGAGCGCATAGAGAAACATAATAAATGATAATAATGTTGAAGAGTTACTTATGAGGCAAATACTAATTAGGATAAAATGATTGATTGTTATTTATAAGCGAAAGTATAATGCTTATTGACGAAAAGTGAAATAATAATAAGACAAAAATTGATTGTTACTTATAAAATAAAGTATATATAATATTTATGAGGAAAAATGTGATACTTTTTGAAAAAACAATGTAATACTTTCATATATCAAAATATAATATTTAGGGCTTGAATGGTTACTTATGAAGGGGAAGTGAAATATTAATCATGGATAAATTGAAAATGAAATACCAATGAGGAAAAGTGTGCGTAATATTATTTAAGGATAAATTGATTGATGGTTACTTGGAAAGTGATTGAAACTTGACTCGTGCGTGTCATGTATAATGATCCATGACACAGTTTTAAATGAGTTTTTGTCATCACTTATTCAAAATCTCCCGATGACAGGACAATTTTTGCTGAGAATAATCTTTTTGTGGATGGATGAGAAAATCTAAAAGGAGTTAAATCTAGGAATGATCTCTTGATTATTGATATTTATCAATTTTTATCGTCAAATTTTAATTGACCATAAATGGTCCATTGATTATTAACTTTTACCAATAATGTTAATTATTGACTTTCAATTTGACCATAAATGATCCATTGACTATTGGATTTTGTTATAAATTTGGTCCTCTAGTTAAATATCTATTTTTTAAACATTAAATTTAAGGGTAATAATGTAAAATTTTGGTTCTTCACATTCCCACTAATGATGAACCCAATGTATTAAGTTTATGAACTCAAATTGCACGCCCATCTCAACAAGAAGTCAATTTTTTTACATTATTACCTGATGGGTAAATACGCATAAAGGATTGATCCGTACAGCTGGTCCATCAAGAAGTCACTCAACCGGTCCGTCACGACCATCAACCCGATTGTACTAAATCATTTGTGATCAACCGTACCACTCGTACCGATAGGCCTCGTGACAAAAGAAGATGCTCTCGAGTCATCCTTGGAACCGCCCCGACGGAGAGCCACCCGGCCAGTCTACCGTAGGTGGACCGGTCGGCATACAATGTGACGCAACCTACAAAGCCGAAAAACATTACTTACACGACAAGTTATAAGGTCCAACTTGCACTTGTAGAACGACGACTGACAGCTTGCAGGTAAGGCGGCTCTGTCACCCGGTCAGTCAACCTACGAGTAGTTGCAGAGTGACCGCCTAACCAAGCCAACGAGAGGACGACACATCAAGCCACTTGCAGCAGGTGCATTGAATGCGTAGACCGACTTAGTTATTATAAATAGGAGGGTGTCCTCCTCATTTTTGAGATCTTCATCTTCATCTTCATCTCATTACAACTACTACTTACTACATTGCAACCAGCTACTTGTAACCACTTAAGCACTTGTCATACTACTCAGCCTCAGATCGCTCAGCCGTCGTCCGGTAGACCGACCGACTGGCCTACGAGTGCTCTATTCTACTCGTTCACAAACATACGTATTCATAGTGTAATCGTAACCCTCGGTTCAATTTACGATATCATTACACTTAAATTTAATGTTTACTAAATTGATATTTAACTGGATGATCAGAATTTTGAACAAAATCAGTAGTCAAGAGACCATTTATAATCAAATTGAAAGGCGAGAATGAAAATTGGTAAACGTTAATAATCAGTGAACTATTTATAATCCAATTAAAAATTAAGAATAAAAATTGATAAGTCTCAATAGTCAAGGGACCATTCCTGAAATTAACTCATCTAAAAATTATGAATATAATTTATTAACAGTGGTTACATCCCAACATCATAAACAAATTTTGATCTCATGGAAATGAATCTCTTTCAAACCTCTTTCAAACCTCTTTCATATAAAATGATACAATAAGATGATATATGTGAAAGATATTAATAAAGAATTAGACATAAGATTTAATTTATTAACAGTGGTTACATCCCAACATCGCAATCAAATTTTGATCTCATGGAAATGAATAACTCTTTCAAACCTCTTTCATATAAAATGATACAATAAGATATATTATGGGAAAGATATTAATAAAAAAAATTAGACATAAGTTGGTCTACATTGTAATTAAGAAACAAAGCTGTTAAATGCAATGAGGACGGATCCTTAATTTCACAAATAAATTATATTAAATGATGTCCGAATCTTCCTTTCTTGAGGCCTTCATTTATTCCACAACTATTGGATGGAAGATCTGAAAAATTAAAAATTTATTAAATAAGAGATTCGAGTGGATGATACAACAATAATAAAAATGAATTCAAAATTAAATATCATTTACCTGGTATACAAAACATAGCGGAAGAGCAATTAAAGCTTAGTACTTGGTTGGTGGGGGTGGAGAAGCGTAAATGTATGTTGGTTGTGGAGGGGATGGGGATGGTGGAGGAGGGGATTGATAGTAGTACGGAGGTGGAGGAGATGACGATGGTGGTGGTGGAGACTTGTAGTAGTATGGTGGTGGGGGTGATGGTGATGGAGGAGGTGGGGACTTGTAAAAGTATGGTGGAGGAGGAGACGGTGAGGGTGGAGGAGGAGATTTGTAGTAGTAAGGTGGTGGTGGCGATGGAGATGGGGGTGGTGGAGACTTATAATAGTATGGTGGCGGAGGAGATGACGAGGGTGGAGGAGGAGATTTGTAGTAGTATGGTGGTGGTGGTGATGGAGATGGGGGTGGTGGAGACTTATAATAGTATGGTGGCGGAGGAGATGGTGAGGGTGGAGGAGAAGATTTGTAGTAGTATGGTGGTGGCGGTGATGGAGATGGGGGTGGTGGAGACTTATAATAGTATGGTGGCGGGGGTGATGGTGATGGAGGAGGTGGAGATTTGTAATAGTAGGGTGGGGGAGGAGATGGTGAGGGTGGAGGAGGAGATTTGTAGTAGTAGGGTGGTGGTGGCGATGGAGATGGGGGTGGTGGAGACTTATAATAGTATGGTGGCGGGGGTGATGGTGATGGGGGAGGTGGTGATTTGTAATAGTAGGGTGGGGGAGGAGATGGAGATGGTGGAGGAGGAGACTTATAATAGTATGGTGGCGGGGGTGATGGTGATGGGGGAGGAGGAGATTTGTAGTAATATGGTGGTGGTGGTGGTGATGGAGATGGGGGTGGTGGAGACTTGTAGTAATAAGTGGATGGTGGTGGAGGTGACTTATATAAATAGGTTGGTGAAGGAGGGGGTGGTGATTTGTAGTAGTAAGTTGGTGGTGGCGGAGATTTGTAATAGTATGGAAAAGGGGAAGGTTTGGGCTTTTCACATTTTTCAAAAGGAGTCTTTGGGGCATAAGCAAATGGTTTTGCATAGAGAACAACCTCATAAAGTGTCTTTGATTTTACTCTTAGCAGTGTAGCACCCTTAATGCCCATATGAAAGTTAGTAGGGATGTTACACTTGGAACCCTTGGGTGGTGTGTGAAGTTTAGCCTTGCATGCCTTTCCTCAATATTTCCTGTAGTCAAACCCTTTAACTTCAACGCTATACTTTCCATTGATCTTGGTGGTTCCATATGCCACAATTTTCTTTTCACCGGCCATACATGTTACCTCAACTATTGCACCTATATCAAGAAATGTCAATCAAGAGTGATGAATTAATATGTAGATGTTTATAAAGAAAATAAATATTAGTATATATGTTTTGTATTAAAAGTCCATTGCAAATCAAAAGAAAGCTTTGCCAATAAAACCTAAAAAGAAATATAATTTGAAACACCAATCATACAATTGTTGTGAAAATGGTTGAAGGGAAAATCCTAATACCTTTGAGATGTTTCATGTTATGGGATTTCTTAGGATATGCCCAATCGTAACATTTGAAGCAGTACACTTTTCCAACAACTTTAACCACTAATTGATCATAATGTGGAGGATAATAATGAGTTGGTGGTGGTGGTGAGGCGTAATAATACGGAGATGGAGTGGATTTCTTGGGTGGTGGTGGGGAAGTGTAATAGTATGGAGTAGGAGACTTTTTAGGTGGTGGTGGAGAAGAGTAGTAGTATGGAGGAGGGGGTGAATTCTTGGGTGGTGGTGGAGAGGTGTAGTAGTATGGTGGAGGAGGAGACTTTATAGGTGGTGGTGGTGATGAGTAATGGTATGGAGGGGGTGGTGATTTAACTGGTGGTGGGGGAGAGGTGTAGTAATAAGGAGGGGGTGGTGATTTCTTGGGTGGAGGTGGAGAGGTGTAGTAGTAGGGGGGTGGCGGTGAAGGTGAGGGTGGAGGAGGAGATTTATAATAGTATGGTGGAGGAGGAGATAGTGATGGTGGAGGAGGAGATTTATACTAATAAGGGGGAGGAGGAGATGGTGAAGGTGGTGGAGGAGATTTATAGTAATAAGGTGGTGGAGGTGGTGGTGAAGGTGGTGGAGGAGATTTGTAGTAATATGGTGGAGGAGGAGATGGTGAAGGTGGTGGAGGAGATTTGTAGTAGTAAGGTGGAGGAGGGGAAGGTGAGGGTGGTGGGGGAGACTTGTAAACATATGGTGGTGGAGGTGATGGCGAAGGTGGTGGGGGAGATTTGTAGTAATAAGGTGGAGGAGGGGAAGGTGAAGGTGGTGGGGGAGACTTGTAAACATATGGTGGTGGAGGTGATGGCGAAGGTGGTGGAGGAGATTTGTAGTAGTAAGGTGGAGGAGGGGAAGGTGAGGGTGGTGGGGGAGACTTGTAAGCATATGGTGGTGGAGGTGATGGTGATGGCGGCGGAGGAGAGTTATATACATATGGTGGGGGAGGCGATTGCACAGGCGGTGGTGGAGACTTATACTCATAGGGAGGTGGTGGAGACGGAGAAGGTGGTGGAGGAGATTTGTATTGATACACAGGAGGCGGAGGTGAAGAATACGAATAACTAGTGTCTCCAGAAACTACATTAGAGATAGCCAACAAGGCTAACACCACCAAGATGTGTGGCAACCGGCGACCTCTGGTGAGGCCACCACCGCGACTCCTCATTTCTTACCAAAAAACTCTACAACTTAAGCTTTGTTATTCAGCTGTGAGCTGATGATGACCAGAGGGGATTGAATGGCAAAGGTATTTATAGCAAACTTCAAGAAGTGTGAACTAGTCGTTGGATGAAATTGTCAACTGTCAACTGCCAACTGGGGAACAACTAAGATATAATGATCAATCATTATAATGCATGAAATTGTCAAACAGGGGAAACATCTCAAATAGTGGAGCAATATAATTTTATAAAAATCTGAATAATCAACTCTCTACATAGCTGTTTGGCCGGCTTGATTATCATACTTCTTTAATATCATACTCTAATCACTTCTGCAATTCTTAATTTTGATCATTTCTTATATGAACATGTCAGCTACCCCCCATTAACGAAAATAAAGATTGGGCATGTGGAAATGAGAACCACATTTCCCGTGTAGAACTATCTTTTGGGCAATTTGTAATGTCTGATTTTGCTCTTAGAAATATGCATTTCTCTAGCTAATTATTTTTGTATTTTAGATTGTGTATCTTGTAATGTCTGATTGTGCAATTTGTAAATTTTATAATTGTGCATCTTGTGATGACTGATTGTGCAACTTATAATATCTGATTGTGCAGTTCAGAAACTGTGATTCTCATTTGATCATGCCCCTAACTATTAATTATAATATTTATATATCTCTTTATATGACACTATTTAATTAATTTTTTAACTTGTCGTCGACAAATTCACAAACATCTGAATATTCAAAATTTTACTGATACGTTAGTGAATTTTGAAATTAGTGTATTGGAACCAAACTTTCTCAATATATTTATAAAATTGTAGAATTTTAAAAATCATATTATTGTAGAACGGATAAAATTTTGAATTATATATATTGTTACTTAATTGATCGGTGTAACATCATATGTTAATGATGAAATGACAGCGTCTGTAATGTGATATACAAGTAAACAACTTAAAAAGGACATGTGAAAAGATTGACAAAAATATTTTGAAAGTAACTTTAAATTTGTTATATTTTGATACATAAGAATATAAGATTTTAAAACACCTGGAGAAATTAACCTTTTAAGGAGGGCGATAGCTCACAAGTATTAGGAATTGTGTGTCCAAAGCAATCCTTAAAGGTGAGTATCCGGAGATCATCTCATAAATTTTTATTCGTGAGATGGATCGAGTCTGGATGAAAAGTATAATACTAATTAGAAGAGATAAATTAATTTTTACTTATGATAAAAAAAAAATGTAATACTTATAGAAAAAAATGATACTTTTAAGAAAAATATTGTGTAATACTTTTAAATCAACATGTAATATTCATATATTGAAGAGTTATTTATGAGGAAAATATATATAATACTAATCAGGATAAATTGATTGATTTTTATTTATGAGGCCGGAAAAGTGTAATACTTATTGAAAAAAAGTGAAATACTAATAAGGGATAAATTGATTGTTACTTATATGAAATATAAAGTATAATACTTATGAGCAAAAGTATAATACTTTCATATCAAAATATAATATTTAGGTCTTGAAGAATTACTTATGAGGGGAAGTCTAATACTAATCATGGATAAATTGATTTATTATGAGCGAAAATGTAATACTAATGAGGAAAAGTGCATGTAATATTAATAAGGGATAAATTGATTGATGGTTCCTTCATTATTGACCTTTAGTAATTTTTATCATCGACTTTCAATTTGACTATAAATGATTTTTTGACTATTTATTTTGTTCCAAATTTGGACATCAAGTTAAATAATATCTACTTATTAAATATTAAATTTTAGGGTAATAATGTAAAATTTTGGTTCTTCACATTCCACTAATGATGAATCCAGTGTATTAAGTTTGTGAACCCATTTTACCCATCTCAACAAGAACTCAATATTTACATTATTGTCCGTAAACTTAATGTTTACTAAATTAATATTTTATCGAAAGAACAAATTTATAACAAAATCAATAGTCAAAGACCATTTATGGTCAAATTGAAAGTAGATATGAAATTTGGTAAAGGTCGGGAAGAAAACATTTATGGTGCAATTGAAAGTTGAGAATAAAAATTGGTAAATGTCAATAATCAAGGTAGCATTCTTGAAATTAACTCATAAAAAAATTATGAATTTAACTTATTAACCGTGGTTACATCCCAATTACCATCACAAACAAATTTTGATCTCATGGAAATGAATCTATTTAAAACCTCTATCATATAAAACGATACAAGTTTGGGAAGAATACAATAAGGACCGAGCCTTTATTTAACAAATAAATTATATTAAATGATGTCCGGATCTTCCTTTCAAGAAGCCTTCATTTATTCCACAATTGGATATTTGGATGGAAGATCTGAAAAATTAAAAATGTATTAAATAAGAGCTTCGAGTGGATAATACAACATAAATAAAAATGTATACAAAATTAATTATCATTTACCTGGTATACAACACAAAGTGGAAGAGAAATTATTAAAGTTTAGTACTTGGTTGGTGGGGGTGGAGAAGCATAAATGTATGTTGGTTGAGGGGGAGATGGGGATGGTGGGGGAGGTGAATGGTAGTAATACGGTGGAGGGGGAGAAGGAGATGGTGGAGGAGGGGATTGATAGTAGTATGGAGGTGGAGGAGATGGCGATGGTGGTGGTGGAGACTTGTAGTAGTATGGTGGTGGGGGTGATGGTGACGGAGGAGGTGGAGACTTGTAATAGTAGGGTGGAGGAGGAGAGGGTGAGGGTGGAGGAGGGGATTTGTAGTAGTAGGGTGGTGGTGGCGATGGAGATGGAGGTGGTGGAGACCTATAATAGTATGGTGGCGGGGGTGATGGTGATGGAGGAGGTGGAGACTTGTAGTAGTAGGGTGGTGGTGGTGATGGAGATGGAGGTGGCGGAGACTTATAATAGTATGGTGGCGGGGGTGATGGTGATGGAGGAGGTGGAGACTTGTAGTAGTAGGGTGGTGGTGGTGATGAAGATGGGGGTGGTGGAGACTTATAATAGTATGGTGGCGGGGGTGATGGTGATGGAGGAGGTGGAGACTTGTAGTAGTAGGGTGGTGGTGGTGATGGAGATGTGGGTGGTGAAGACTTATAATAGTATGGTGGCGGGGGTGACGGTGATGGAGGTGGTGGTGACTTGTAATAGTAGGGTGGAGGAGGAGAAGGAGATGGCGGAGGAGGAGATTTGTAATAATAGGGTGGTGGTGGTGGTGATGAGGATGGGGGTGGTGGAGACTTATAATAGTATAGATGTGGAGGTGATGGTGATGGAGGAGGTGGAGACCTGTAATAGTATGGTGGTGGAGGTGACGGTGAAGGAGGAGGTGGGGATTTATAATAATAAGGTGGAGGAGGAGATGGTGAAGGTGGAGGAGGAGATTTGTAATAATATGGTGGTGGTGGTGATGGAGATGGGGGTGGAGGAGACTTGTAGTAATAAGTGGATGGTGGTGGAGGTGACTTATATGAATATGTTGGTTTAGGCAATGGTGAAGGAGGCGGCGGTGATTTGTAGTAGTAAGTTGGTGGTGGGGGAGATTTGTAGTAGTATGGAATAGGGGTGGGTTTGGGCTTCTCACATTTCTCATAAGGAGTCTTTGGGGCATAAGCAAATGGTTTTGCATATAGAACAACTTCATAATGTGTCTTTGATTTGATTCTTAGTGTAGCACCCTTAATGCCCGTATGAAAGTTAGTAGGGATGTTACACTTGGAACCCTTGGGTGGTGTGTGAAGTTTAGCCTTGCATGACTTTCCTCCGTATTTCCTGTAGTCAAACCCTTTAACTTCAATGCTATACTTTCCATTGATCTTGGTGGTTCCATATGCCACAATTTTCTTTTTATCCGCCATACAAGTTACTTCAACTATTGCACCTATTTCAAGAAATTTCAATGAAGAGTGACCAATTAATAAGTTGATAATAATTATTAAGAAAAGAAATATTATTACACTATAAGTTTTGGTTTATATTAAAAGTCCGATCCATTGCAAATTAAATGAGAATTTTGCTAAAACTTAAAAAAAATATATAATTAAAAAACTAACCATACAATTGTGAAAATGGTTGAAGGGAAAATCCTACCTTTGAGATGTTTCATGTTATGGGATTTCTTCGGATATGCCCAATCGTAACACTTGAAGCAGTACACTTTTCCAACAACTTTAACCACTAATTGATCATAGTGTGGAGGATAATAATGAGTTGGTGGTGGTGGTGAGGTGTAGTAATAGGGAGATGGAGGGGATTTCTTGGGTGGTGGTGGGGAAGTGTAATAGTATGGAGTATGAGACTTTTTTGGTGGGGGTGGAGAAGAGTAGTAGTATGGAGGAGGGGGTGATTTAATTGGTGGAGGAGGAGATACATAGTAGTAAGGAGGAGGTGGTGATTTCTTGGGTGGTGGTGGAGAGGTGTAGTAGTATGGTGGAGGAGGAGACTTTACAGGTGGTGGTGGTGATGAGTAATGGTATGTAGGGGGTGGTGATTTTACTGGGGGTGGGGGAGAGGTGTAGTAATAAGGAGGGGGTGGTGATTTCTTGGGTGGAGGTGGAGAGGTGTAGTAGTAGGGGGTGGCGGTGAAGGTGAGGGTGGAGGAGGTGATTTATAATAGTATGGCGGAGGAGGGGATGGTGAAGGTGGTGGTGGAGATTTATAGTAATAAGGTGGAGGAGGAGATGGTGAAGGAGGTGGGGGAGATTTGTAGTAATAAGGTGGAGGAGGAGATGGTGAGGGTGGTGGAGGAGATTTGTAGTAGTAAGGTGGCGGAGGGGAAGGTGAGGGTGGCGGTGGAGATTTGTAATAGTAAGGAGGTGGAGGTGAAGGTGAAGGAGGTGGGGGTGATTTGTAATAGTATGGAGGTGGAGGTGAAGGTGAAGGTGGTGGGGGAGACTTGTAAGCATATGGTGGGGGAGGTGATGGTGATGGTGGCGGAGGAGACTTGTATACATATGGTGGGGGAGGCGATTGCACTGGTGGTGGTGGAGACTTATACTCATAGGGAGGTGGTGGAGACGGAGAAGGTGGAGGAGGAGATTTGTATTGATACACAGGAGGCGAAGGTGAAGAATATAAATAACTAGTTTCTCCAGAAACTACATTAGAAATAGTCAACAAGGCTAAGACCACCAAGATGTGTGGCAACCGGCGACCTCCGGTGAGGCCACCACCGCGGCTCCTCATGTCTTGCCTAAAAAACTCTACCAATTAACTTAATGCTTTGTTATTCAGCTGTGAGCTGATGATGACCATAGGGGATTGAATGGCAAACGTATTTATAGCAGACTGCAAAAACTGGGAAATAGTTGTTGCATGAAATTGTCAACTGCCAACATGGGAACAATTAAAATATAATGTTCATTATATGCATGGAATTGTCAACAAGGGAAACAACTCAAATAGTGGTGCAATATAATATTACAAAAACCTCAATCATCGATTCTCTACATAGCTGTATTGGTTTGATCATATATACTTCAATTCTTTAATGTCATACTCTAATCACTTTTGGATTTCTTAATTTTGATCATTTCTGTATATGAACATGTCAGCTCTCCCCGCTTGACCAAAATAAAAATAGCAAGTAGAAGACGCAGAGGCTATTTAATTGTACTTTGATATGATATAACATTTCTTCCATTTACATTTGTCAATTATGGGCAAGATAAAATGAGAACCACATTTTCCTTGGGAGCTACCTTTTGTGCAACTTACAAGTATTACTGTATTTACTTTTGTATTTTAGATGTGTCAATACCTATAATGGTCCATTAACTATTTCGTAATTCTCAAATTAATACTCAACTATCAATTCATCCAAAATGGTCCTTCAACTATGTAAAATTTACTTATTTTAGTCCTCCAATATTGCTTATGCTGATAACTAAATTGAGTACATTTATGCATAGTTTAAGGACCATTTTGGGTGAATTGGTAGTTGAGAACCAATTTGAGAATTAGGACATAATTGAGGGACTATTTTGGGTGCTATCTCCATTCTGAACTTTGCATCTTATAATGTCTGATTGTGCAACTTGTAATTTTATACTTGTGTATCTTGTAATACCTAATTGTGTAACTCGTAATGTCTTATTGCGCAATTCGCGCATTACCGTTATTCTTATTTAATCGTACCCTATCAATTATAATATTTATCACTTTATATGGCACTATTTGATTAAATACATTCTAAATCCAAAGATAAACAACTATCCAATCTCGGCATCCCGCACAAATCTAAATCTAAGTCTTTCAGAATGAAATAATTTTGCTAATTTAATAATATATAAATAAATATATAATAGCGAAAGATATGATTAGCATCTATCTAATAAAACTAGCATTTTGTACGCGCGATGTGCGAAAATTTATGTTTAATATTAAAAAATTGATAAATGCAAATAATTACAAGTTATAGTTCAAATTTTATTTCGCAATTCTGAAAGTAGTAAATTTTAATCTTCGTATTTAAAAATTATAGAGATGAACAAAATTTATATTTTGTTTATTAATAATGTAAACAATTTTGATATAATATATACTTTGTTTTTACAATAAATAAATAAAATATCTATAATACTAACATACATAGTAACCGGTCACATATATTAGTGCGTGTACGGGCCTATATATATAGACCCACACACATATGATTTACCATTGTAGAAAGAAAGAGAGGATATCAACCAATGTGTTTGTTCACTTACTAGATATATACACTACAACAATGGACAGTTTTATAGACTCTTCACTTGCTAGTCTATTTATTTCTATGCCTTCCCATTTTCTATAACTGTTTACTTCTAACACTCCTCCTCAAGCTGGAGCATAGATATTAATCATGCATAGCTTGTTACAAATATACTCAACCCTGTCCCTGTTAAGCCATTTGGTTAACACATCAGCTAGTTGATCGCCGCTACGAACATGAGCCATGGAAATGAGGCCTTGTTGAATCTTTTCACGCACAAAATGACAATCTACCTCAATATGCTTGGTACGCTCATGGAACACTGGATTGTTTGAAATGTGTATAGCTGCTTGATTATCACACCATAAACGTATGGGCTTCATCACTTCCACACCAACCTCCTTCAACATATTGTGTACCCAAGTTATTTCACATGTCACATGAGTCATTGCCTATACTCAGATTCTGCACTGGACCGAGCCACAACAGTCTGTTTCTTGCTTTTTCAAGAAACCAAATTACCTCCTACGAACACACAATACCTTGTTGTAGACTTCCTGTCACTCAACGAACCTGCCCAATCAGCATCTGAAAATGCCTCAACTCTCGCATGTCCATGATCAGCATATAGAATGCCTTTACTTGGTGCATTCTTAAGATACTTTACAATTCGAACTGCTGCCTCCCAATGAGTTCGCATGAGTGCTTGCATGAACTGACTTACCACACTGACTGGGAAAGCAATATCATGACGTGTAATGGTGAGATAATTCAACTTTCCCACCAACTTCCTATATATTTCTGGAGAATCAAAGGCCTCCCCCTCACCAGCCACAAGTTTCACACCTTGCTCCATAGGGGTCTCACATGGTTTTGACCCCAACAACCCAGTATCATCAAGCAGATCTAGCACATATTTCCTTTGGGAGAGAAATATTCCTTTCCGAGAGCGAGCAACTTCAATCCCTAAAAAATACTTTAACACTCCCAAATCTTTCGTGTGAAACTTTTCTTTGAGGAAAGATTTAAGAGTTTCAATACCTACTGCACAATTGCCTGTGATTACTATATCATTAACATAAACAATCAAGAGAATGCACCCATCATTAGTATGCTTGAAAAAGACAGTATGATCACACTGACTCCTTTGCATACCAAACTCCATAATCACACTACTAAACCTCCCAAACCAAGCTCGTGGAGATTGCTTCAGGCCATATAGAGACTTTTTCAATTTACACACTCTTCCAAACTCCCCCTGAGCAACAAACCCAGACGGTTGCTCCATGTAGACTTCCTCAACCAAATCACCATGAAAAAATGCATTTTTGACATCTAGCTGATACAGAGGCCAATGGTTAGACGCATCTAAAGAAATAAAGATATGAACTGAAGCTATCTTAGCTACCGGGGAGAAAGTTTCTGTATAATCAACACCATAAGTTTGTGTATATCCCTTTGCTACTAGACGAGCTTTAAGTCTAGCCACATCCCCATCAGGGTTCATTTTCACAACATAAACCCACTTGCAACCAACTGCAGCCTTACCGACCAGGAGGGGTACCAAATCCCAAGTATGGTCGTCTTCAAGAGCAGCCATCTCCTCCTCCATTGCTTGTCTCCACCCATCATGTGCTAAAGCCTGACTCAAAGTGTTTGGAACTGATATAGAATCTAAACGTGATACAAAGGTGCGAGATGACAACGACAAATGATTATAAGACACAAAAGAGGAAATAGGGTTTTGACAACGACGTTTACCTTTACGAAGGGCAATGGGAAGATCCAGATCATTTGACGAAGATTCTGATAAGGAAGAAGTATTCACTTGTGGTTCGGGTGCACTACAAGAAAAATTGCGAATTGCGACGGAAAATCGCGACGGATATTAATCCGTTGCAATATAGCGACCGATTTTGCGATCGAATAGCTTCCGTTGCAAATTTGCAACGGAAAGGGCGACGGAATTTAATTCCGTCGCGAAACTTGGCGCAAATTGAAAATAAAACCCGCGAAATATTGGAGGTAAAATTTTAACGATAGAATTTGCGACCAGAATTAAATTTCATCGTCCATTTCGCGACGGAAACTTTGTTTTTACAATAAATAAATAAAATATCTATAATACTAACATACATAGTAACCGGTCACATATATTAGTGCGTCTGCGGGCCTATATATATAGACCCACACACATATGATTTACCATTGTAGAAAGAAAGAGAGGATACCAACCAATGTGTTTGTTCTATTTGCTGTGTTCTCCTTCACTGCTACAACTAGATATATATACTACAACAATGGACAATTTTATAGACTCTTCACTTGCTAGTCTATTTATTTTTATGCCTCCCCATCTTCTATAATTGTTTACTTCTAACAACCATTCATAGAAATTTAATTAGAAATATAATCAACAATTAAAGCAATTATATAATGATTTTAATAAAATGATAATTAAAGAATATGAAAAATATATCATAGATAGATATAGGTGTATAATAATAATGATAGAGTTATGAAAGTTAGAAGTAAATAGTAACGGTGTTATAACGGTGTAAGGTGCTTTTGTCTAAAAAGAATGTAGTAGGAACAATTTTCTCCATTATAATTGAAGTGTACAACATTTAATGAAAAATGTATACCTTTATTATAATTTAATTATATATATATATATATATATATATATATATATATATATATATATATATATATATATATATATATATATATATATATATATTGATGGAATAATTACGGAGCGGACCTGGAGCGAAGAAATATGGAGTGGATCACACACGGCACCGAGCGGACAGACCATGGAGGGGTCTACCACCCTGGGGTCCTCGACTACTACCATGGGGTCCTCGGCTACTACCTCCCCGGGGTCCTCGGCTACTATCATGGGGTCCCCGGCTACTATGCATACGGAGTGACGAACCACCGCGGGGTCGGCCAACATGGGCTCGGCACCCCGGGGTCGGCCTACGTAGGCCGACCACCATGGGGTCGGCCGGCGCGCCCGGGGTCAGCCAGCACACCCAGGGTCGACCTACGCGGGGTTGGCCTGGCGTGAGGTCGGCACCCCGGGGTCGGCCTGCGGCCGACCTCCACGAGGTCTCCGCCGACCTCTAGAGGGGGTCTCCGCCGACCTCTCGAGGAGGTCCCCGCCAACCTCTCGACGAGGTCTCGACCGACCTCTTAGGGAGGTCTTCGCCGACCTCTCGAGGAAGTCTGCGCCGACCTCTCGAGGAGGTCCCCGCCGACCTCTCGAGTGGGTCTCGGCCGACATCTTGAAGAGTTCTCGGCTGGCCTCGCGGTGCACCCTAGGGGCGGTACGAGGTCCGACCTCGCCTATCGCCATACGGATGAGCCGCGTCTCCCCATCGCCCG